GGCGATCCCGCCCTACAACGCGCAGCAGGACTGCCACGCCCGCGGCTACTTCCGCAGCCCCGTGGTCCCGCCCGTCTTGCGGAGAACGGATCAGGTAGGGGAGGTCCTGGGGGGCCCCGCGCCCCTCACCCCGCCGCCCTCGCCACGCGGGAGCTGCCCCCACTCCCACCCCCTCGGTTTTCTGTGTGGTCGTTTTTGTTGTCGGCTTTTGAGTCGGAGTTTCGCCCCGTCGCCCCGACTGGAGCGCAGGGGCCGCTCCCGGCCACCGCAGCCTCGACCCGCTGGGCTCCGGCGATCCTTCCGCCTCAGCCTTCCGAGGAGCCGGAATTACAGGCCTGCGCTACCACGCCCGGCTGGTTTTTTGATTTGTTGTAGAGATGAGGTCTCGCTGCCCAGGCGGGTCTCGAACCCGCGGGCTCAGGCCATCCACTCACCTCAGCCTCCGGATTACAGGCTGAGCCACCGAGCCCGGCATCTGTGTTCTTTGTGAATGGGGGTGAGGGTGGTCTTGAACTCCTGGGCTCTAGGGGTCCGGGTGAGGGTGGTCTTGAACTCCTGGGCTCTAGGGGTCCGCTTGCCTTGGTCTCCCCAAGTGCTGAGAGCCTTGAGCCTCCGCGCCCGACATCCCTCAGTTTCCTTCCCTCCTTCTGAGCCAGAGTCTCACACTCTGTTGCCCAGGCTAGAGTGCAGCGGCACGTTCATGGCCTACTCCAGCAATCCTTCTGCTTCAGCCTTCCAAGTAGCAGGTACCACAGGCCTGCGCCACCACACCCAGCTCATTTTCGATTTATTGTAGAGATGATGTCTCGCCAAGTTTCCCAGGCTGATCTCAAACCCCTAGGCTCAGGCAATCCTCTCTCTTCCACTGTCCAAAGTGTTGGGATTACAGGCATGAGCCACTGCGCCCAGTCTTTTCTTTTTTTTTCAGTTGGAGTCACACTCCAGTGCCCAGGATGGAGCACAGTGGCACGCTCACAGCCACCCCAGCGTCAAGGTACTGGGCTCAGGCGATCCTTCCAGCTCAGTCCAAGTAGCCAGAACTACAGGCGTGTGCCACCACACCTGACTGATTTTTAAAAATTTATTGTAGACAATTTTTTGATTTGTTGTAGAGTTGAGGTTTCACCAAGTTGCCCAGGCTGTTCTCCAACCCGTGGACTCAGTCAGTTCTCTCACTTTGACTTCCCAAAGTGCTGGGATTACAGGCTTGAGCCATTGTGCCCAGCTTCTTTTCTTTCAAAAGTGATTTTATTTTAACCCTTTCACTTCTTTTTTGTCTTGGCAAACATGTAGGGTTTTTCACTTTATAGGGACTTTCTGCATGCATAGATCCCTCAGTTTTCTAATTGGTCTAGGAACTGGAGGACATGGATGATGTGTGTTGGGTGCAAGCTCACTGAGCCCACAGAACGGCCTTCCAGCCCTGAATTTGAGAACAGACTCATTTCTGCAAGGCTAGAGGATGGGACTCAGAGCCCTCCTCTCTCTTTTTTTTTTTTTTTTTTTGAGTTGAAGCCTCACTCTGTCGCCCAGACTGGAGTGCAGTGGCCGCTCCCGAACAGCGCAGCCTCGACCTGCTGGGCTCCGGCAATCCTTCTGCCTCAGCCTTCCGAGTAGCTGAAACGACAGGCGCGCGCTACCACGCCCAGCTGATTTTTGATTTATTGTAGAGATGAGGTCTTGCCAAGTTCCCCAGGCGGATCTCGAACCCGCGGGCTCAGGCAATCCACTCACCTCAGCCTCCCAAAGTGCTGGGATGGCAGGCATGGACCACTGGCCCCAGCCTCATCAAATATATTAAATTGCTGGGTGCGGTGGCAAGCCCGGCTGAGCTCTCCGCTCTTAAAACTAGTAGGTTTCATTGTCCTTTGTGATGTCACAGACCCAGCCTTTAGGGTGACCTCATGCTGCAAGTTGCTAAATAGACAAAAATTCATGTGCTCTCAGTGAGTGAGACAAAGGGCAGGCCAGGTGCCTTCAGTTCTGTGATGTCATAGCTGCCAGGCGTGGGCCCACTCTTGGGGACCTGAGCGCTGAAGAGAAGGAACCCTCCTAAACCCCTGTAGCCCTCAGTGCCTCCTCTCGGCCTTTTCCCTCCTAGGTGTGCTGGCCTACTCCGGGATTGAAGATTCTAATCTAAGACTATTTGCTGATGGTCCCATTCCCCCCTCAATGCTTTGCCTCCAGCATTTGTGTTTATAGATGTCAGTGGTGTGGGCAAGAGAAAGGAGGCATTGTGGGGTTACCCTGTGAAGGGATCTTGGAGTTTTTTGTGGTCCCAGAATGTGTGCACATATGTGTGCACTGCATGTATATGGACATGCATCTGTGTCTACTCATGCAACTGTTGTAACAGAAAGAGCCAGAGACTGGGGGTAAAAAAAAAAAAAAAAAAAAAAGGAAAGTATTTGGGGCCGGATGCTGGTGGCTCATGCCTGTAATTCCAGAATTTTGGGAGGCCGAGGCAGGAGAATTTCCTGAGTCCAGGGATTCGAGGCCAGCATGGGCAACTTGGAGAGATCTCATCTCTACAGTAAATCAAAAAATTAGATGGGTGTGGTGTCGCCTGCCTGTAGTCCCAGCTACTTGGGAAGCTGAGGCGGAAGGATCACCTGAGCCCAGTAGCAGTGAGCCTGCCACTGCATTCGAGGGAAACTCTGACTCAGTCAATCACTTGAGTATTTATTTAGAGTCTCACTCTGTCACCCAGGCTGGAGTGCGGTGCCACGCTCATGGCCACTGCAGCCTCCACCTGCTGGGCTCAGGATCCTGCATTTGAATTTTCAAAAGCTGGAAAGTAGGTGGGCACAGTGACTCATGCCTGTAATCCCAGCACTTCGGGAGGCCAAGGTGGGAGGATGGATTGAGCCTAGGAGTTTGAGTCTAGCCCGGGTAACATAGCAAGAGCTCATCTCTATCTTCTCTACACACACACACACACACACACACACACACACACACATAAAATTAAGCTTTAAAATAAAAGCTTGAAAATTATTTGGTGCACATGTTTTGGAAAATTTATGTTTAATTTCTGTTTTGAGTCATAGCCTCACTCTGCTTCCCAGGTTGGAGTGCAGTGGCGTGATCACGATGATCATGTCTCATGGCAACCTTGACCTCCTGGGCTCAGGCGATCCTTCCACCTCAGCCTCCCAAGTAGGTGGGACTATAGGCATGTGCCACACCTGACTATTTAAAAAAATTTTTTTGTAGAGATGAGATCTGGCTATGTTGCCCAGGCTGGTCTCAAATTCCTGGGCTCAGGCGATCCTCTCACCTAGCCTCCCAAAGTGCTGGGATGGCAGGCATGGACCACTGGCCCCAGCCTCATCAAATATATTAAATTGCTGGGTGCGGTGGCTCAAGCCTGTCATCCCAGTACTTTGGGAGGCCAAGGCGAGATGATTGCCTGAGTTCAGGGGTTTGAGACCAACCTGGGGAACTTGGTAAGCCCTCGTCTCTACAATAAATCAAAAAATTAGCCGGGCATGGTGGCATGCACCTGTAGTTCCAGCTACTTGGAAGGCTGAGGCAGAAGGATCGCTGGAGCCTGCAGGTCGAGGCTACGGGTGCTGTGAATGTGCCACTGCATTCCAGCTTGGGTGACAGAGTGAGACTCCAACTCAATATATATATATATATGTATATATAAAGTTTGTCTGCCTAGTTACCTTAGGCACCGACCTCTTCTCGCAATCCCAGGGTAGTGTGCTCTGTGGGTCTCTCCCGCCTAGTGACTGACAGTCTTTGGCATTTTCTCCCTCACTTTCAGGATCACGGCGGCACAGGAAGGGATGGCTGGATAGTAGATTATATCCACATCTTCGGGCAAGGACAGAGATACCTCAACAGGAGAAACTGGGCAGGGGCAGGCAAGTGCCACCTCCACGTCCAGTCTCATGGTGGCTTCACCGAGGAGGAGGAGTGTACAGCCCACAATTCAGAGAAAGAGGCTGGGTCACAGAGAAGCCTGGCTGGGGGAGGGAGGCCGAGTGGACTGCTTCCTTCCAGACTTTCTTCTCCTGCGTGAGCTGATGGTACTACGGTGCTCCTTAATCTTCAGTTACTGAGTACCTACTGTATGTCAGGCACTTTTTTTTGTTTTGTTTTGTTTTTTGAGTTGGAGTCTCACTCTGTCGCCCAGACTGGAGTGCAGTGGCTGCTCCCGGCCACCACAGCCTCGACCTGCTGGGCTCCGGTGATCCTTCCGCCTCAGCCTTCCAAGCAGCTGGAACTACAGGCGTGCGCTACCACGCCCAGCTAATTTTTGATTTATTGTAGAGATGAGGTCTCGCCAAATTGCCCAGGCGGGTCTCGAACCTGCAGGGTCAGGCAATCCACTCAACTCAGCCTCCCAAAGGCTCAGGATTACAGGCTGAGCCACTGAGCCCAGCTTGTCAGGCACTTTTTATCCTCAATCTCCATGTTACCGTTGGGGAAACTGAGCCTTGAGTTAAAGTGATTTGCCGAGAAGGAGGCCTGGTGCGGTGGCGCATGCTTGTAATCCCAGCACTTTGGGAGGCTGAGGCAGGAGAATCGCTTGAGGCCAGGAATTCGAGACCAGCTTGGGCAACAAAGTGAGACCTTGTCTCTACAAAAAAAAAACAAAACAAAAAATTAGCTGGGTGTGGTGGCGCATGCTTGTAGTCCCAGCTACTTGGGAGGGTGAGGCAGAAAGATCTCCTGAACCCAGAAGGCTGAGGCTGTGGTGAGCTTTGATTATACCACTGCACTCCAGCCTGGACAACAGAGTGAGACTCCAACTCAAAATGAAATTTTAAAGAAAGTGATTTGCTGAGAAGGGCGGGGTTGGCTTGAAATTCTACCCTTTCAGCTTCTAAAGTCTGTGTTCCTCTCACTGACTCCCAAGAAGCGCTATCCTGCTCATTTTCTAGGCCCAATTTAGCAACAACGGGAAAGGGAGAATTGGGAGATATTTTTCTGGCAGGGTGCACCCTCCTCCCATCCCAACTTTGCTGACCTCAGCCACACTCTGGTCCCATGATCCTTTGCACCATTTGACTGAATTGATCTCATCCATTTTCTCCGGATGTGTCAGAGGCAAGGGTAGGTTATTCTCAATTCCCCTGGGAGATAAGGCAAAAGTTTCGGCCAAGCCCAGAAGTTTCTGGCCCTTCCTGTTCCAGCATATTCCCTTCACACTCACTCCTAGTGCAGGGTCTGGTTTCTAAGAAGCTTTCTTCCCTAGGACCTCACCTGCCCTTGGCTTTTCAGCCCGGAGGCTCAGGACACGTGAGGATAGAGTGTTCAGCTATGGGCATGGGGTGCGCAGTGCCCACGCCAGGATTGGCATCCCATGCTAGCCCTAGGGGAGGGGGGAAGGTAAGGGGGAGGATGTGGACTCAGGCGTCCATCCTTGCCCCCAAGGGCATTCTCTCCAGCAGGTGACCGGGCACAGCCACTACAACACTGACCTGAAACCGGCCAGTGGGTTCAACGGTCGGTTCGGGTACCGCCGGAACACCCCGGCCCTGCGCCAGCACCCATCCGTCTTTGGAGAGGTCACTCACTTCCCTCTCTTCTGACAGCATGTCTTCCCTCGCAGCCCTCGACCTGAATTTCTAAGACAGATGTTTAGATGAACTCTCGATGTTATTTTACATACAAAAAAAGTTGTGTCTCCCAGTGTGCTGTTTCTTCGGGGGATGTGGGGGGGGGGTGTGGTGGGGGGGAGGCAAGTCAGTCTTTCCACACCTCAGAAAGGAGGTGAGAGCAGAGAGGGCCCCTCAGACCTTTGCCCTGTGCTCTGTGCTTGAAGGGAGAGGCCTCAGTTTCCCCCTGCTGGTGTGATAAGAAGAAACATACAAGCCCAGTGCAATCGCTCATGTCCATAATCCCAGCACTTTGGGAGACAGAGACGAGAAGATTGCCTGAACTCAGGGGATCCGAGACCAGCCTGAGCAACACAGCGAGACCTTGTCTCTACAATAAATCAAAAAAATTGGCTGGGTGTGGTGGTGCATGCCTGTGGTTCCAGCTATTTGGAAGCCTGAGGCAGAAGGATCACCTGCCCAGCAGGTCAAGGCTGTGGTGGCCGTGAGCATGCCATAGTACTCCAGCCTAGGTGACAGAGTGAGACTGCAACTCAAAACAAACAAACAACAAAAAAAGGAAACATATAACTCAGCCCTCAACAATGCACTTACCCAGGTGTGGCAGGGCCCTGGTCGCTGCTGGCTACTGTTTCCATCAGGAGCAGAGCTGGCAGTGCCTCTGCAGGGATTGGCACTGGTTGCCCTGAGGATCTCCTGATTTCCTGACAGAGGCATCCGAGTCAAAGAACTGGCATCTTCCTTCTCCTTTCCACTCTTGATTTCTTAAGAGGTAGGGGCTGGACAAAACAGTATCGGGTGCTTTTTAGCCAAGGATTCTGGCACAGTAACACTGTTTGTGGATGTTTTGTCTATTTATGCTATGTTGGTTTCCTTTTTGCTGGATTCTAGGATGTCATTTTTCAAGTGTTCCCACTTAGTTTATTGGTGGCCAGGAGAAAAGCCAAAGCAGAAGATAGCTACCAGAGAGGGCGGGGCTTTACAATACAAAGTATTCCAGGACTCTAGTGTGGGTGGAACCTGTTTGTACTGAGTCACTATAAGTGGACAAGGGAGTGACCTCCAAGAGGCTAGGGGGGTATAGCTCAGGGGTAGAGCATTTGACTGCAGATCAAGAGGTCCCCGGTTCAAATCCGGGTGCCCCCTCCTCTTTTAACTTTTTTTCATTTCCATTTATGAGTAAATACTGGCAGCAACAGTGTCACTAGAGCGGACAATTATATTTCAGCTCATCCTCGTTCTGAAATACTAGATCCTCCCACATTCCAAGTGATCAACCACTAGGACAAAGCCTCAGCAGGACTCCCAGGGACTTAAGGCAAAGTCCTGGCTGGGTGTGGTGACTCACACCTGTAATCCCAGCACTTTGGGAGGCGGAGGTAAGAGGATTGCCTGAGCTCAGGGGTTCGAGACCAGCCTGGGCAACTTGACTAGACTTTGTCTCTACAAAAAAATTAGCTGGGTGTGGTGGCATGCACCTGTGGTTCCAGCTACTTGGAAGACTGAGGCAGAAGGATCACTTGAGTCCAGCAGGTCAAGGCTGCAGTGACTGTGAGTGTGCTGCTGCATTCCAGCCTGGGCGACAGAGTGAGACTCCAACTCACACACACACAAAAAAGGGAAAGTCCCTGAAGAAATTTTAAATCTAAGATTAGGTCTGAGAGCCTAATATATTATGTTAAAGATAAAGTCATTCATTTGTATTTATGAAAGCTGCCGCAAATAAAAAAATGAGAGTGGATCCATATCCTAAGGGAGCTTTCAGTCTGACAGGAGTTGACATGTTCACATACAGCTGTCAGAGGAAGAGCTTGGCTTATAGATCAAGAAAAAAGATCTTTTAAAAATATGCACCCAGGTCCGGCTTGGTGGCTCAGTCTGTAATTCCAGCACATTGGGAGGTTAAGGCGAGTGGATTACCTGAGCCCACTGGTTCAAGACCACCCCAGGCAACTTGGCGAGACCTTGTCTCTACAATAAATCAAAAGTTAGCTGAGCATGGTAGTGCACACCTATAGTTCCAGCTACTTGGAAGACTGAGATGGGAGGATCGCCGGAGTCCAGCAGGTCAATGTTGGGGTGGCGGTGAGTGTATCACTGCACTCCAGCCTGGGCAACAGAATGAGACTCCAACTCAAAAAAAAAAAAAAAAATGTAGCCGGGCTCGGTGGCTCAGCCTGTAATCCCGCGCCTTTGGGAGGCTGAGGTGAGTGGATTGCCTGAGCCCATGGGTTCGAGAACCGTCTGGGCAGCGAGACCTCATCTCTACAATAAATTTAAAAAAAAATCAACTGGGCGTGGTAGCGCATGCCTGTAATTCCGGCTACTCGGAAGGCTGAGGTGGAAGGATCGCCGGAGCCCTGCAGGTCGAGGCTGCGGTGGCCGGGAGCGGCCTCTGCACTCCAGTCTGGGTGACAGCGTGAGACTCCAACTCAAAAAAAAACAAAATGTACCTAGGCCAAGCATGGTGGCTCATACCTATAATCCCAGCACTTTTGGAGGCCAAGGTAAGAGTATTGCCTGAGCCCATGGGTTTGAGACCAGTCTGGGCAACTTGGTGAGATTCCATCTTTACAATAAATAAAAAAATTAGCTGGGCATGGTGGCATGTGTCTGTAGTTCCAGCTACTTGGAAGGCTGAGGTGGAAGGATCGCTTGAGCCCAG